ATCCATAGTTGTTGTCACTTTGCAGCCGCAATGATGAATGCATTGTGGCGTATTTTGACCCCCGGAATTTGACCTTGCATTCTAGCTACATTTACCTCCCTTTCATACCAGTTCAATTTCTTTTCATTATTTCATCCAGATTCCATGACCAACCTTTATTTCACAGTCACTCTAGTTTTCACTTTTCTAAAATTATTTTATTGATCAAAAGAATTTTCACTCCCATCATGCAATCTCCCATAGTACTTCCGCAGACACAGATGCGATCGCCAACATAACTACAAATAACCTCGCTCTCAGGAGCTGAGGAATAAAACCAGTTCAATTTCTTTTCATTATTTCATCCAGATTCCATGATATTTAATATTTAAAAGCAACCTTTATTTCACAGTCACTCTAGTTTTCACTTTTGTAAAAATTATTTTACTAATCAAAAGGCTTTTTACTCCCATCATGCAATCTCCCATAGTACTTCCACAGACACAGCGGCGATTGCCAACATAACTACAAATAACCTCGCTCTCAGGAGCTGAGGAATGAGCCTTGAATTGGGTTGACCTGTGATAGTCTGGTTGGTCCCCTGCCCCGATTTCAACGCCGAGGGCGGCATTATCTTAACCGCCCTCGGCGTTGAAATTGGAGCAGGAGACCAGACTACACTTGTGAACGTCCGCTCCTTGGTTGTGTATTCACGGAAGCGAGTGCGGTTTTAGGTTGCTCGGTATTGGTCAACATATCAGCGTACACTACATTATACCAAGACGTGTTCGAACTGCTGCGATCATCTACTGACTCGAATTTCGAATTTATAAAAGTTAGTGATCGTTGAATCTCGGACAATCCGACCATGAGTGCTCCGGATGTGAAATACAAACAGGTAGTGTACGTTTTAATTTCCCATTAACATTAATGAAACAATTTAACTTGCATTTATAATTATTACGTTAAACATTGGCTTTTGGGTTTTAGAGTTGAAACTGTAGTCACACGTGTCGCCTGTGATGTTGCAATTGTTAGATTAAATATACGGTCCAAGGTCCGACTTCCTAATTTAACTATCGCAAAATGGACCGATATATAATAAAAATATAATGCATTGCACAGTTTGTAAAAACAAATGATGGAATTATTTTACACAGGTTTAAACTTAGCAAAAAACAAGGCAAGATCACATTTACTCTGATATTCGCTATATTGTAAGATAAGATAACTTTATTGACATTATTCTTTCTATAGAAGATGAACATAGTCAAGTAAAATAAAAAAAAATGTAAAGAGGATAATCAAAAAATTAAAATAACAGATTAATTAAAAGGCAATTAAAAGGTAGTACAGAATCAGGTGTTTTATTAATACATAATTGTAGAAATTATTTAAAGCAGTTACTGAGCCACCACCTACTGATTCTAATCAGATAAAAGTTGGACATAAATCTGCAACTAACACACGTTTTGACTGACCGGTATTTGCATAAGACGAGCTGTGAAGCAATTTCTTTGTCCAAAATTGTGCACTGTCATTACCACACCACCCACCCCAAAATCCAGGGTCTTTTACTGGCAGACCATCCCTGTACAGTCTCTGCTTTCCTCAGACTTAAATACATGTACTCGGTAGATGGTGGCATATGTTGGGTTTGATAACTGTTACAAGATGATGTGATTGGCCAGCATTTATTTTTTTATATTCCATCAAATGATTTTCCAAACATAAAATTCCTGTCAGCTCTGTTTGAATGGTGACATTATTTATTCATATACATATACAATCAGAAAACAATATAAACAAATTCAAAACTAGTATTAATACAAAAGAACATAAATTAATCAAGCATGTGACTAAATACTTAAAACTTTGTTTCAAGAAACATGACACATAGACATGTACTTATCCACAGTCCCTCTATATAGAGGGACTGTGACTTATACATAATTGTATATCACTGTATATCATTGTATATCACTACACTATCTCAGGCTAATTTGCCATTTTAAACTGCATTTATCTTAATTTTCTTTAACTTCTATTTTTGTTACTGTTTTTTAAAATTTATTACATAATAGCCTAAAATGATTTGTTAACTTTCATTGTAGTGGAATAAATGAAATTATTATTATTATTATAAACAAAAACCTACACATATCTCTGTATTTAACTATACACAAATCAGGAAAATTCAACGGAGCCCAAGAAGACCCAACAGCTAGAGCAATAAAGGCATGTTTCAAAATAAAACAAATGCTATTCTCAGAAAAACTGATTCCAATCAAAACATACTTTTTGATGCAATTGTAAAACCTTTTATGATTTACTGCAGAGAAATTTGGATGAACAAGAACATCAACAAATCTGTCTACACCAATGGAAACAGTACAAATACATTTCTGCAAATAACTTCTAAAAGTAAATAGCAAAGCAATTAACTTGGCTAGTCTACTGGAGTTGGGTAGATAACCAGTCCTAGCAACAAGCTTAAAAAATATGATCGAATATTGGATTAAAATAAATAATTATAACCCAAATTTGCTAGTGCATGAAGCTTACAATCTTGGAATACACCTTGATAAAAAGAAAAAGACAACTGGGTAACAGACATAAAACAAATTTTAGAAAATTTAAATATGGGAAATATTTGGAAAAACCATAAATCTTAGGATGACAAAAAACTGAAACAGTAATGCGCAAACCATAACAATCCTTTGAAAAACATAGCACAGAACCATTACATGATGACAATAAAAGTGTAAACCATAAAAACAAGCTACGAACCTATAGGAAAATTAAAACATAATTTGCATATGAAAATTATCTCACCACAATCAAAAATCCAAACCATAGTGTTGATATGACAAAACTCAGAATAAGTGCTCATTACAGTCAAATTGAAAGGGGTAGATATAATGACCTTTTAGCTGAGGACCGAATTTGCCTAGTTTTGACAAATAGGAAATTAAAACAAAAAACATTTTCTTCTCAACTGTAATCTATAAAAGGAGGAACGAGAAATCATGATAAAAGATATTAAATACACAATAAAAGCAACTTTAGGATGAATGATGAACACCTAACAGATATATGTAGAATTCTTTATTTTCGCTTGGAATTTATTTTCGCTATTTTCGCTGAAGGGATGATTCCGTGAAAATAAAATCCAGCGAATATACTTTTTTTCCTATATTTTACATTAAACTCATCAAAAATCAGTGAAAATAAATTCCATACAAAATGCCCCAAAAGCCTTTTCAGCGAAAATTAATTCCAGCGAAAATAAAGTATTCCACAGTACTACAAGTCATTGTCAATAACATATACCCAGCAGTCCCTGTCATGACGTTTTGAATGAAAAGCATAGTCAGATTATTTTTAAATATTGGGAAAGTACTTAGCATATTAACTACACATGTGCGTGAAATGGGTATAAAAACTAAGTTTGAATGAAATTGGTCAAGGCATGCCCCAGAAACTATTAATGACAAATGTTGTTGATATTTGAGACAATTAATGACTGTCAGTTGAAGGTCAACAAAATAAAACAATGCGATGTTCACATGTATCATGACTTGTGATGTACCAACTTTGAAAGAAAAAAAGAAAAATTGATTCAAGCATGCACAAGAAATGACGAACAGCGGGATGCACATGACAGTCAAAAGTCAGCAATTTTTTTCACTTGCAAAACTGATTTGCAGCAGTCGCGCATCAGATGTGATGTTCATATGCTCAGTAGCCATGCATGCTAGAGAAAATGATACAGACAAACAGCATTAGTTTGGGAGACAAAATTGGTTAAAACTTGGCCAAAGGAAGACCACATGGTATCATCAACATTACTTTCACTGATCTTGCACACTGGTGCCATCAACCATCAACATGCACGCTCTTGAAAAAAAAAATGCCCACCAGTTGGCTATTTTGAATTGAATCATGAAAAAAAGGAAGTACATCAGTAACCCACTATGACTGATGTCATTGCCAAGTTTGAATGAAATTAGTGAAGTCATGTCCAAGATCCGGTTGATGACATGTTTGAATTTTGTGATTTTATTTGTTTTTGATGAAAATGGCAGCCATTCGGGAAAAATGACAAAACAATCATTGAGCTAGGAAAATTCATCCATACGTGTTTCAAATTACAACAAGAAAAAAATCCTAAAATGCCAGATGCCTCAACCAACCACCACATAATTTAAATTTTTTTCTTCTTTTTTCTCTTCATTCAAATGTTTGTGATTGTCTTGTTGTTACTCTTTGTTTTTTTTTTTTGTTTTTTTGTTACTTTATTGTATTTCAAATAAGATCCCACTCGGGGATACAATTTCAATAAAGATTATTATTATTATTATTACATGGGATGAAAAAGTCATTATTATTAATACTCTATATGAATCCTAAGTTACATTCAACTTCATAGTGAGTTTCCACCATAATAATTGTTTTCCATTACACTTGTTATATTGTAAAATACTTGAATTAATTAATTTTGTCATTTTGGTAGTTTCATACGGATTTTATTTTCACTGATTCATTTATTCAGAAAAATAGTGAAAATAAATTCCAGGTGAAAATAAAGTATGGGTATACAATGAGAAGTTTATCTCCCATAATGCATTGCATACATGTGCAGTATACCGTATATACCAATAAAAAGTTGTCAGCTTTTGTCACCTTTTACAAAATAATCCTGCATAAATGTTTCCATATTGTTTTAAATTTGTTTATTAAGACCTATCATTGATGGGAATTTGATTATTTGCACCAGATTCAATGAAGAAATTATAGAAAATATACAAGTAACCTGTAGAATGCTGTGTGGGTAATATTTTTATATTGATTTTTGTTGCATTTGCAGCAAATAGTTACCAAACAATGAGAAATCTATAGGATTGGATATACCTCTCAGCTGGCTTCACATGCATAGTTCAAGACTGCCTAACCGGTGCTTATACCAGGATTTAGTTGCAGCACTGTGGTCTGTGGTTACAGCTTCATTTTCCGAGTAATCACAAGAAATTGACATTACAATAGAAAATAAAAGACTGGCACTCCCATACAATTAATAGAAAGTGAAATTCCTGGAATTGAAACATAGAAGTCACTGGTGTAGGCATTGAATAACTTCAAGTTGGCATAAAGACGAGGTAGTTTATTTAATCAGTGCTGAACTAGAGGTTGAAATTATAATTAAGTTCGTTGTCATATAATTTGTTTATTTAAATTTCTAATGAATTCAAATAGAATACACTGGTGAAAGGATGTTTTGGAGGTGTGGTTACATTGTGTAGGGAGTGGTAGGGTTGGGTGTCATATATTTTTTTCATTTTCAACTCTCATGAAATCACACAGAATTTCACTTAATTTATTTTCGATGAAAAGTTTTC